TAATAAATGATATGGTAAGGTGCCTAGCTAGGTGTACTAATAAGCCTCTAATCTCAGCACCCAGGCTGAGGCACCAAGGTCTGGAGTTCAAGGACAGCCTAGGCTACCTAGTGAAAGCCTGCCTCACTAAAATTAATTCATTCAAAAGCCAAACCAAACCAGTACAAGGAATTTAGGGCTGGGCTAGGCTCGCTAGCCTCAGGTATTGCCTGGAACTAGAAGCCAGGAGGAAGTGTCTGGGTGTGTCAGGGGCCTTGTGTGCCAAGAATTAAAGTTAGGACCATTGGGAGGTGAGACCAAACCAGTGCCTTGTTTTGGTGACACACTTGGGGGTTAGAGGCCACGGGGTAGGGGTGGGGTGCTGCTGCTTCTGGGTCACCCGCACTCTTCAGGTCACCAAGGGTGTCATCCTCACCTCTCAGAAGCCTAGCTGTGGCCCTAGACTGCTTAACACAAGGCAGTTAGGGCACAGAAGCAACTAATAAGACAGCGGGGAGAGAAAATATGAAAATCAAGGCAAACACGCACAGGGCAGGCAGTTTAGAGGGAGACCTCGGCAGAGTTTTGGGGACTCTTCTCGGTCTCTAGCCCCTCTCTCTGAACTTGTCCCTGAAGCTCTCCAGACATCAATTCTAGAATCCCGGGCAGGAGCAGCGAAGCGCTGTCTCACCAACTCTGTCCCATCGCAGGGCGGTCAAGCTTTCCCTGAGGTCCTTAACAGCAGGGTAAACTGAGACCTGGCTGGCTGCCCTCTCCCCCGCCCCCACTCGCTGGTTCCCGCCCGGACGGAGCCTGAGCTCGGCTGGCAGCACCCAGGCACGCGGCTCCGCTCCGCTCCCAGGCCGGGCAGGCCGAGCGCGGAGCCTGCCAGGCGCTCCCGCTCCTGACGCTGCTGCCCGGGCCCGGAGCCCGCCTCTCCCGCTCTGATGTAAACTGATATTTTAATTCTCTTACAAGGAATGGTGTTTAGAGAAATGACTTAACCGGATTACTCATCGTCGATAATGACTTGGCCCAGCTCCGAGGCTATTCCTAGACGTGACGCTGGAGGCTTTGATTCTCTCTTTACTTTTGCTCCCCCTCCGCAATTCCCCTCCTTCCCCTCCCAATGCCAAGAAATTACAGTGTGAGCGGCGACTCCGCCCCTACACGCCCCCCCCAGCAAGGCATCCTGGGAGATGCAGTTCTCTCTCGACGCTGGGCGCATTCCCCCTCCCCCCAAGCTCTCCAAGGCTTGTGCTGCTGAGCATTGGACAGGGTTATGTGGGAAGTAGAGGCCCCTTAAGTGAGACATGCTTTAATCAAGAACATTGAAACAGGACTGAAGGACCTTCTGAGATCTTAACTAAAAGCGCTACACTGACCTAACTGAAATCTTTCTCCAGCGCATTTGGTACTGACTCCCCCGTCTAGATTTACCCTTTTGTGACAAACTGTGACACAAGGAACCCAGGTCTGGTTGCCCCTGTTCCTAGGAACTCTGGCACACAGTGGACTTTTCTTACTCATTCCAGATTGTGGCTGCGCCCATGAACTTGTACGGCACCTGTTCTCTGTTCCTCAATGTCCCAAGAGTATTCTGGGGACAAATACAGTGTCTAGTTTGTGGGGATCAGGTGACAGGTCTGGTAAGACACGGGTGTGGGTGGGGTCTGATGTAGATAACACTGTGCTGATTCTCCAGCACCCCAGCCGGCCCAGACATGGGCACTTCGCTGCCTGTTAGCAGCTACAAATGTGTCCATCTTGGTGCCAGCACACAGAAGGACAACCTGACACATGTTGACTGATGGGTTGGTTGGTCGAATGGATGGATGAACACAGCCTCATCTCCACCTTCCCTGATAAAGCACCTGTGCATCCGAGAGATCAAACAACTTGCATGAGGTTGCACATCTGGGTTGTGTATGAGTGCAGACGAAAACCCCAAATTCTTCCCTACCCCAGGAGGATTCAACTGTCACCTTTCAGGTGCAGACACTTGAGCATCTCGGGTTTCTGTTGGGTAGGGACAGGGCCATGAAGTCCCCCACCCAGAAGCCAGCTCTAACCCAACACAGGAAGTTGTTCCAAATTCAGTGGGTCGGTGCAGAGGGGAAACGGAGCACTGCTTCTAAGCACCGCTTGGGACAGCGATCATGCCTCTTCTCCTAGGAAATTGTCCCCTGGTGATCTGGGACCCAACCCTATGCTAACATTGCCGCCTCTCAACCCTTGCCCATCCCCAAAGGCCAAAAGCTATTCTTGTCTCTTTCTAAAAGACGCGTTTGAAACCATGAGCCCATTTTTTCCATTCCCGGGCTTGGGTATGGTCTATTTCAAGCATTTGCTGTTTTCCATGAGTTGCGAATGCCATTGTGAAGCAAGCCTTTCCTGGACAGCTAGCATAGCAGGGTGGGGGAGTGGGGTGCAAAGCCGGGCCAACAGTTAAAAATATTCCCCCACTTCATTCCCCTTTGAAAACAAGGCCCCAGGGGGCATTTTGCAACTGCTAGGACTGGGAACAGTAACAACAGGGAAGACAGGCTGCTTGTCCTGTTTTCTGAGTACATCGCACAGCTTTGAAGGTCTCAGATGAAGCATGGCACTGACTTTCCTGTGTGACTTCCAGCAGCTTGCTGAACCTCTCTAGGCCAGTAAGCTCTAGGATGAGCTCCGCCCCCAAGGTCAGGTCCTTAGGGATGGACCAATGTGAGGTGTGAGAAGGTAGGCTTAGCCCAGTCTCTCACCAAAGAGATCTAGAATTCTCTCAGGAAGATTCGGGGGAGGCTATGGAGAGAGAGATCACCTATAAGGCACAGACAGCGGCAGATGCTAATAGAGGAATGACCTGTATTTTAACTGTAGATCTCTCTATGGCAAAAACAGAATTGTATCAGCTTAAAACACACATTAAACCAAGTTACGTCTTTTACCAGACCATGGATACACACATATTTATGAGAAGAAGTAGGGAACGTTCTAAAAGACTATCCAATCTGATAAGGAGAGGGAGGGAACTGGATTTGGGGCACGGCCAGAGAGGGCTGATTTATTTAACTCAATGCTTTTCCCGGGAAAAGTGTGTTTACACACGAGTGGCGTTTTGTTTTTCTTCTGGAGGTTGGCAGAGAAACAACCCAGACACGGAGAGGCTAGTGACCTCTCACGCTATTCTGGGCTGGTTCTCTGCGGATGGTGTGTGATGGAGAAAGGGGGCTGTGTGCTGCGGAAGATGAAGCTTGAGCAACGGGAGTGGTTGTGCTTTTAGGAAAGCAAATGGAGGTGTCACTCCTCAGCAGGATTTATTAGCTGTTGTAGATCACTTTCTGTTGTAAACAGCTGCCTCGGGAGACAATTAAATTTAGATCACATTGTTCTTAGGTTGCCCCAGACAGGTGTTGGCTTGCTGAGGCTTTGCAGAAACAGCCCTGTCTAAGAGTACACTCTCCTGCCTGGATGGTAGGGTCCTTCTCTCCAGAGGTAGGGTTAGCTGTGGTTTTGTCAGGCAGTGCCTGCCTCGCTGATGCAAGTATCCAATCCAAGAGGTAGCAGACGGCCTACACTGTGACGCTGAAGGCAGTCTTCAGCTCTCCATACCTAGCCTGGCATTGTGACTGGTCCAGTCAATCCTTACCAAATGGATACAAGTGGAACTGAAAGAAGTTTCTGGGTGGTATCTTTTGGTAGATAGCATCTCGGCCAGTCTCAGATCTCTTGGGGTGGAGTGTGGCTTGTAATCTTGGACGTGGGAGGTACTGTTGCAATCATTATTCTGGTGATTATTCTGAGCAGTTAATAAATATTGACAACAATGTGTCTGTCACCAGATCTGTGAACGCAGGCTGCTCAATTATCCCACCAAGTCCAGTGTGGCGAGCTTGCAGATCCGTCATTCCAGACCCATGGATAAGGGCCTGAGGGTCAGAGTCGCCAACTGCTGCCCAGTCCATTTGTCCACTGTGAATGGAAGCACCGGTATATTGGGAGTATGTCTATGGAGTCCTGCTCACCTGTGCCCCTATTTCCTGGTTGAGCTCTAGCCTGACCATATAGCTCTAGTTATATGAACTAATTAATCACCCAGGCTTGTTTTGTTCTATAAAATAAGGACAATGGTGGTGTGAAATGCACAGAGCTGTATGAATATTATAATTAATGAACAGAATTTGATTCTGGGGATATTAACTACATAGTAGAAACAAAGTTCAAATCCAAGCTCTTCAGCTGCTGAGGCTTTCCGCTTTTAAATCTCAAGGCTTAGCTTCATCTTCTATAACCCACACAGGTCCAAGGGACTGCTCTTCCTCCTCTTGTCCCCACTCACGATAAACTTCACCCTCTTCTCCCTCACTTCCTCTTTGCACGGTTCAGCTTGTGGCTGTCACTCAGTCTACATGACATATGTGGACATGGGCACTATGGGCAGATCTAGGGAATTAGGCATGAGCTACGGAGGACTTTCTAGACTGGCCCTTGGTAGGTCCTTGCTAGGCTAACAGTACTCGCCTCTCTATGTGAAGCCGAATAGAATGCAATCGGACCACTTCGAGTCAGTTCAGAAGCACTTAACCCCACCCAGTCTTTGGCACGCTGCAGAGAGCGGGCAGTTTTCTAAGACTCTAGCTTTGCCTCTAGGGAAACAAGAGGACCCAGTGCGGCCATGACTCTTGAATGTCCAGCATGAGCCCCTTGCTGAAAAGTGGGCGCACACTACAACTTCCAGACTTCCTCGGGCTCAAGGGGCGGACCCCACCCGCCCTAGAAGATAGGATCCACCAATAGGAGCCCAGAGCGCAGCGGGGCGGGCCCGGGGGCGGGCCCGCGGGGAGGCGGCAGTCGAGCCGCAGCGCGAGTCAGTCGCGCCGAGAGCGCTGGGACAGGACAGCTCCGTTCGTCGAGGGTCTCCGGTTGGCGACGCGCGATCTCTCTGGGCCATGGGTAAGCGGCTCGAGGGCGGCGCTGGGGTCGGAGGGCTGGGGACCTGGAGCGATCGCGACCCGAGGGGCGACCAGAGGGGCACCCGGGTGTCGGTGTGCTGTCTTCTCGTGGAAAGTCGGGGCGGCCAGGGGCTTCCCAGGCGTTTATCTCGAAACTCTCCTCTCTGGCTCCGGACTGAAATTCACTGAGCCGCCCACACTTCCTGCTGCGGTTTCAATCTCAAGCTGCTCTGGGCCCATTTGTTGTGACAGCTGTCAGCAGCAGCTTCTCGGCCGCGGGCCCCTCCCTGCCCCGTGCCAGCCCAACGCTTCTCAGAACCCGAGGCGCCCGGGCCGCGCACCGCGCTTCCCACTGCTGCCGCGATTCCTGAAAGTGACTGCGCGGGTTTTGAAGAACTTGCTCAATGCGCTTTGAAGAATCAACGGTTCCTCTTTCTGCCGAGGGGCATGCTGATGGTTTGACGGTCACAGGCTTCAGGTCCCCTCTCCTTCTCTCTTCTCTTCCTTTTTCTTATTGTTTCCCTGGCAGGAAAGACGGCTTCTTTTTAGTTGCCCAATCTTCTGACTTTTCCTCTCTTCCCCTGAATCCTTCCAGAGGGACAGGGTGGTGGCCCTGGACTAGGGGTAATTAGTGGAGAGAGGGCAGAAAGGTAGCCTGCCAGAGTGCAACGAATAAGTTTGGCTTTGCTCTCAAGCTCGAACTAGGGGCACAACCACGCCACCTCATCCACAACCCTCCACACTGCCCAGGCTCCATGCCCTGGCTGGGGTCACACTCTACACCCTGGCCCACAGGCACAGTGGGGTTGCCAACCCTGGGCCCAGAAGGCCTCAGATTCATCCCAAATTGTGCTGGTATGGCCTCAATCCCCTTGTTCGTAGAGTCTTCTGCTTCAGAGGAGGGGTCACGGCAGCCAAAGGAGGTGACAGGTGCTCCTTGCCCTGCCCCGTGGACACTGTTGGGAGGTACATCTAAGGGACTCAGGGCCTAAACAGGATGCCAGGGCAAGGGGAGGGCTGGAGATGTTAGCTAGAGGGTCCACAGCATTTACAGCATCCAAACTGACTGCTTGGCCTAGAACCTGAAGTGACGGAGGCAGAATGGGTCTTAGCTCCCTCCCCGTCACTATCTTTTATTACAGTCAGAGAAACTGAGGCACAGAAGCAGGCTTAGGTCTGATAGTGAGTGAGACTTCCTTGACTCCCAGGACTCCTTGCCCCTCACCCCTTTCCGAGTGGCCTTCTGTTGCCCTTGGTAGGAAGCTGGTCCGCAACGGTCTGCATTCCCTCGTGGAGCAGGGTAGCAGGCACTGGGGCTGGGGTGCGGAGAGTAGGAGGGGAAAGGCGGCGAGGTAGGGAAGTACCCTGTGTAGGGGTTCTCCCTCTACTGTTGACTCACCCCTCTGAGCCTTGTTTCTGCACAGGTGGGGTGGGAAAACCGGAAATGATCCATATATAGGACTCTGTTTTCACCAACTGCAGGGGCAGAGGGGCGGGGCGGTGGCGACTCAGTCCTTCCAGGAGTAGAATTGCTTAGGCTAGAATTGGGTAGCGCTGGGAGTCTGGAATCTCATACTTGGTGCCCGTTCGCCTCTCTCTGCCTTCATGTACCCCTTGGGACTCTCATCTTGTCTCTAGCCACTGACAGAACTTATTTCTCCCTGCCTTGGCAGAGGTGCCGAGGGGAGGCTGTGGCTGGTTCTGGCTCCTCAGACTCTTGTCCAGCTGTCCTCAAGGCTGGCTCTTGATAAGACCCCCTCCCCTCCCCAAACGGCCCACTGGAGCAAGCCCAAGGAGGAGAATGCCAGGCAGCCGGCTGCTGGGCCACAGAGTGGACTGACCGCTTCAAAGGCTGTCTTTGTTTCCTCTCCAGCTCGAGCTAAGGGAAACTTAAGCCAACAACCTCAGGCAAGGGGGTGGGGCCTGTGTCTGCTGGTTGTTACTGAGGTTGCTATTGCCATTATTGCTGTGACTGACGTCGTGTTCCCAGTCAGTGAGTTTTCATGAAAGGAAGTGTCACTTCCTTCCCATCACAGGGACGGTGACTGGGGTAGGCAAATGAAAGCGAGGAGGAAAGTGGTACCCACGCCTAGCAAGCTTCTCAGCTCCGGGGAGGTGTGTGGGCCTTGAGCGCTCTCTGAGCACCCGAGTTCTCAGAGCAAGTAGACTCATCCCATAGACTTAGGTCAGTTTTTCGGGAGCACCCTAGGGAGAATCAGACGCCACGGGGACAGGCAGGTGTCACCAAGGATGTGTGCACACTTGCAACTGTGATTTGTAGGGGAAGCCTGCATACATGCTTTCTTCGGTTTAGACTATTGGTCATTGAGCCTAGCACCCCTATTATAGAGACGAGGGAACAGAGTTACAGAAAGACAAAAGACGTGCCCAGCGTGGCATGATGCCGCATGTCTATAGTCCCAACACTGGGAAAGCTAATCCAGAAAACTGTAGGTTCGAGACCAGTCTGGGTTACGTAGAGAGACCTTGTCCAAAACAAACAAATAAACAAGTCAAGAGGCATCCCTGGGGCACTAGAGTTCCCCCTCCTCCATCCTGTACAGTTTCAGCTGATCTCAGCTCACTGGCTGGCAGGGCAAGGGGCAGGCTTACAGGGAGGGGCCTCTCCTTATCTCTTAACCTATCCCGTTGCCTCCTCACTGATTCCTCTACAGGGTGCCCCCTGCCACTTCCATCTTCCCCTCTTTTACACAGAGCCTTTGTCTCCTGAGACAGCAGTTCCCACTTCTTCAGGGACCCTCGGTTGTGTCCAGTGGTTTTCCTTCCTTAAAGGTTATAAAGTGTTACCCTGGATTGCAATGATGGGGCCTGCGAGACTCCGAGGCCAGGCACATTGATTCATATGGAACTTCTGCTGCTTCCTATTCTGGGCGCAGTTAGCTCAGTTGTCCATACTGTCCTGTACTTATTAGTGAAGTGGGGCTGCAGAGAGCCACTCAAGCAATGTGGGTAAGTTTTTACCCTCTGAGCTTAGATGAGAAAGGTGAAGGTCTCTCTGCCTATGTACAAAGCTCTAGCTTTTAGGGTTCAGGGCCTTGGAGCAATCCGACTCCTGTGGTTTGGAATCTCGGCTTTGACACTGGAAAGGTGTGTGACCCTGAGGCAAGTTATCCAACCTCGCTGAGCCTCAGGCGTGACGTCCATTCAAAGGAGGAAGATTCAGTCAGGCTTGTAGTAGATGCCCAGCCCCAGACAGACCAGAAGAGATCAGCTTTGGTGGAGCCGCTGCTGCTAGCGCAGCAAGGGAAATGGGGAGTGGCTTGGACACACCGACTTTGGCAAGCTTGCTCTGATTGGAAAGAGAGGCTGAAGCTGGGCTGGGAGCTTAGCGTCTAGGGGCCGAGCTGCCTCAGACATCTTTGGAATTGACCAGAAGTCAGTCCAAACCCAGGAAGGACTGGGGCAGCCTTCCTGTTGCACCCTTCGCCACCTGCCTGGTGCCTAGGACGGGACACTGTCACTCTGATGGCTTAGCCTCAAGGTAAGGAGCCCCAAGGTGCTGTGGGGTGAAGCCCTGCCTGCCATTCCAACCATACAATTATTTTCTTTGCTACTTCCTAACTAATTTTGCTACTGCTATAAATAGTGATGTAAATTCCTGATATGCCGGATATCCGATATGCGACCCCTGGGAAAGGGTCATTTGACCCCCAACGGGGGTCACGACCCCAGGTTGAGAACCACTGCTTTAGAGACTGTGCCTCCATCATCCTAAGTCTCAGAGGGAGTGTTCTTCAAAGAGGAAGGTCGGAGGAGGGGGCTAGACCTCCATGTAGTGAACCCTGTCATAAGATCCCCCCAAATTAAAACCACACATGGATGCCAGCACTCCGCTGTGAGGGGAACAACAGAAAGTCCAGGAATGACCCCGGACATGCTTCTGTCAAGTGGGAGGTTGTGGGGAAAGTAGCATTTCGTTTACTGCAGAGGGCGTCGCTCCACCAGCACTGGCAAACACCTGCCCAGTGGAGGAAGACATTGGTAGACCCTGACCTCACACCCCACACTCCGCACCAGAGGAGAGTTTAGACGCACTACAAGGACCCATCCACCCCCGTTATCATTATCATCTCGGGGATGGAAAGAGTCCTGCCTGAGTGATGTGGTGGAGAGCAGACTGTGCTTTTAAAACATCCGTCTTCTTCTCTATTCATGAGGAGGAGGATATAGAGGCACTGACCAGGAAGGGATCTCACACACGAGCTCTGAGGTGGACGAAGACTTGGGTTGTGGTAGCAGCAGTCAAACAGGGAGAGGTGGGTTTCTCCTGTCTTACAGGCAGGGTGATCCTGGGCCACCAGTCCCTTCCCACCCCCTGTACAATGAGACGTGGGACCCAGCCTGCTACTCCATGTTTGGGCCTCGTCTTAGGAGGTTCAGGAGCCAGGCATTGTCTACTCCTGTGGCTGAGGGTTTCCCAGAAGAACCTTTCCGACAAATGCATTACCTGGACCCCGTACCTATAAATGATTGGGGAAATGAGGAGTTAGGACTGCTAGGGATAAGACAAGGCAACCCTGCCCCCTCATCTAAAGCTGCAGAGGTCAGGGCCCAGAAGGTCCTGCCAGGGACAAAGAGAATGGTAGTCCTGGCCAGGAAAGAATGGACACCAAGTTCATTTGGGGACTCAGGACACGGTGGTAAAGAAAGTATTTCCCTTTGTGGCTCAAGGTGGGAAGCTCTGATCCCTCGTCCATTTGAGGCCGAACAGCTTGGATTGGCAGCTTCCTTTCCAGCTAACCTGAGTGCCCTACTCCAGGAGATTCTCCCTGAGTGAGCATATAGATCCCGGAACTGAACGCAGAATCAGGACTAGAGATCACCTGCCTGGTGGCTGTTCACCTGCAACCCCCGGGATTCCTGGGAGCTCTCGATTCGAATGAAGCCCCACTCAGGCCCATAAGCGTCTGTCTTTGAAGTGGGGTGGGGGCTTGTCACGGTCCGACGGTGTTGTTGTTTTGAGATCTAGGGACTGCGTCACGCTAACTCTTTGGCAGCTGGAAGCCCAGGTCGCACTAAGGGATAGATGGAGAGTCTTTGCTGCTGCTGCTGCCAGAATCTGAGGAGCAGCTGGAAGGGAGATAGGAGCATGCAGAGGCCTCAGGCTGAAGGAGGACTGGAGCGAGATAAGCTTCTGGTTCCTAGGTTTGGGATTCAACAGAGGAGGCAGAGGACCCCCCCAGTCATGGAAGCAAAGCCTGAGACATGGAGTTTCAAGGAATGTGGTAGAAAAGGGGGGGGGCACTTGTCAGTTCCTGAGATTTCTGGAGACTGACCATGAATCTAAGACAGCATCCAAGTCTCTTTGGACTCTGGCAAGAGTTAGGATGAGCATCTCTGTGAGCTTTTTTGGACACTCCATGCGAACTTTGCCAATGGTGATGATAATCACAGCAAGCCATCGACCCAACGGTCAGACAGACTTTGTCTTGAGTTCTGGTGCCCGAACTGAAATGCTGAGCCTCGTGACCTCTCTGACTTCAGCTTCCCCCTCTTTAAAATGGGATCCCTGCTGCGACTAAATGAGGGAATGTACTGGCAAAGTCAGGTACCCAGAGGCAGGGACCAGGACAATGTGAGCAGACACAGGCATGGATGTCTACTGTGTGAACAACTGGCAATGGGAGGGCCTTTTGGGACCTGAGCATCCTAACACAGCTCCTCTGGGTCATGTGACTGTGGGACAGTGCCCACAAGGAGATCCTTTTCTGCCTGTGTTGATAGGAAAATCTCAGCCTCCAGCAATGAGGGGTCTCGGAGCTGGAGCAAGCCAAGAGCTGGTCTCATTGTACCAAGTTGGTGAAGAGAAAAGGGAAAGTTGCCAGATCACGCCTATAATCACTTTATAGGTAGAGACGGAAGCTCAGAGATTCTCTGGGCTACACTGCGAGGCTATTTCAAAACCCCCTGTTCTTGAAAGCATAATGAGATGTGCAAAATGCCACAGTAAATCTATTTCTTTGTATGTCAACCGCACCCCCAAAATGATTTAAAAACGTGCCTGTGTAGAATGTACAAGGCCCTAGGCTCCATCCCTGAAAACACAAAAGGACAGATTAGCAGAAGATGTGAGCGTCTAGGCCAGGTGTGCTGGCGCATACCTTTAATTGCAACATCAGAGAGATGGAGGCAGAAGGACCAGGAGTTCAAGATCATTCTTGGTTACCTAGGAAACTGCAGTCCGGGCTACATAAGACTCTGTCTCATAAAATGGGAGCAAAACAAGGTCCCTTTTAGTTGGACATGGTAGCACATGCCTGTAACCCTATCCTTCAGGAGGCAGAGGCAGGGGGATTCCTGCATGGTGTACAGCCAGGGTACACCATGAGACACTGTCTCAATTAATTAAAAAGATTTGGCTCCAGATCTGATGCCAGCCCAGCTCTTCACCTGAGGCAATATGGATTGCTATTTCTGCAGTGGTCAATCTGTGACATGTTTATAACCTCCTGACCAGACCAGAGCATCACTAAACAGTGTAGTACAGATGGCTTCTCTCAGGCCATCGTCACAGTCTTGAGTCTCTGCCCTTCTTACCTGGCACATGTCTCGAATGGGGCCAGAGGACTCTCAAGGACAAGAAAGGGAAGGACTGGCATGCTGGAAGTAGCCAGGCCTGGGAAAGGCCAAGCAGAGGAATGGATCATAGCTGATGTAAACAGTCATCACGAGCCTTGCAAGTGAGGGCATCCTGGAGCCTAAGAGACTACACGGGGCAACTGGCCATGGGGGACTCATGGGTGAAGTCTTGATAGCGTTCAGCTGAGCTATTGTAATGAGTTCTGCCTGAAGATGGGCAGGATTGAGAGAGAGGATGTCCTCAAAACACACCTACCTGCATTCCTCGCGCTTGATCCTAGGCAAGAATGGTGAGGCTGAGGGTTTCCTGCAGAGATGTGGGGGTGTGGCTAGAATAGATGAAAGGAAAGGGGGTGGCTGCCGAGTGTGTGTGTGTGTGTGTGTGTGTGTGTGTGTGTGTGTGTATAGAGGAACAGCTCACGTGTCATAGCCGATACTGGCCAGTAGGGGGCACTCTAAAAGGACTATGAGCACCCACCCCTTCCATGGCTGAAGGGAGGGGACCAATCCTCAACTCGTGCACGTTCCTCCTACCTGCATCTCACCTGCTCTCTCCTCATTCGTTCCTCTCTCCCAGCCACACCTCCTGCCAAGGGGACGAGGGAGCAGTCAGAAGAGGGTGACCCCCTAGAGCTCCCTGTGTCTCCCAAGCCTGATGAGGAGCAGAGCAGCAGCCAGAGCCCCATCCAGCTGGAGGTGAGTTGGATAAACCCTAGACCTCTTCCCTGCTGTGCTCAGCCTCTAGGGAACCTGAGACACCCTGAGCTCTGAGAGGGAGAGAAGCCTCTGCCCCATGCTGCAGAGTTGAGGGGCCCCACGTTGGAAGATGCAGGATCTGGGCACTAGGCAAGGCGGAACCTCACCCAGAATTCTGCAAATCAAACAACCCGGACTCTGAACAGAAAGCAGACAAACACGAGTCTGCAATGTTCAAAAAACATTCCCAAACCAGGCGGTGGTGGTGCACACCTTTAATCCTTGGACTTGGGAGGCAGAGGCAGGTGGATCTCTATGAGTTCGAGGCCAGCCTGGTCTATAGAGCGAGCTCCGGGACAGCCAGGGCTACACAGAGAAACTCTTGACCTGAGTCTAGGCACTAAGCTCACAGTTGTACCCAGGAGAGGAGGCTGGGTGCTCCCAGGTAGCCTATGGTTGGGACCTTCAGATGGCCGTGGTTCCCAGTGTCCAGCTGTCCATCAGTGGGGTCCATCCATGCCTCCTTCTCTCTCCCCAGGACTCTCCTGAGGCCGGCGAGGAGCGGGAGGAAGAACAGGCCTTCCTGGTCAGCCTCTACAAGTTCATGAAGGAGCGACACACGCCCATCGAGAGGGTCCCCCATCTTGGATTCAAGCAGAGTACGTTCCAAGGGGAGGTAGATTTAAGGGGGCAGCCAGGGGATCCTCCCAGACAGGACAACAGGCAAAGACACCTCAGCACCAGGTGACCCTGGATGCCTCCAGCCTTCAGGGGTTGCCTATGAGAAGGATGCCTCCCTGAAGGCAAAGGGGTGGAGCTGGGTGCCCATCCTCTCCTCTTGACCGTCAGGCCAGCCTGCCCCATCCATCACAGTGGTCTTTCATCATCTGGGAGTGTGTGGGGTGCAGCACCTGACAGCCTGTCTTGCCTCTTCCCTTCAGTTAACCTGTGGAAGATCTACAAGGCTGTGGAGAAACTGGGGGCCTATGAGCTGGTAAGGAAAGGTTCGCAGCCATAGCAGGAGCTGGGGAGCAGGGTGGTCAGCAGGGCTTCCTGACCTGTAGATTGAGGAAGAACAGAATTCCCAGGTCTAGCCCGAGTGCTGTGGGAGGAGGGACTGGGTGCTGTGCATCTCAAAGCAGGTTTCTTCCCACTCACATCTGGTCCACCTTCCCCTACTCCAAAACCCGCTTTGCCTAGTAGTCAGGTAGCTCCTGGGAGGGAGAGCTGGTGCGCACCAGCAACCTTCTCCTGCATCCTGCCCCTGGCTCTCGCCCCCTCCCTGCACGGGGAACCTGGAGCAGAGAGGGTCCCGTTGGCCCATCTTCTCTGGTGTCTTGCAGGTGACGGGCCGCCGACTCTGGAAGAACGTGTATGATGAGCTGGGGGGCAGTCCAGGAAGCACCAGCGCGGCCACATGCACGCGCCGCCACTACGAGAGGTACGGGGTGCCCAAAGGGTGCTGCACACCTAGGCCTTCCCACTTCCGGGGTCTTAGCAGTTGTGCGCTGGGAGTGAGGTGCAAAGATGGTATACAGATAGATATGTTACTGTATTGGGGCCTGGCGGTGTATATGTGCTACAAGCATGTCCTTGTCAGGGTCGGGATCTGCAACGAGGCGAGGAAGAGCTGTCGCGTGCTCTATGCACCAGCAGGGAGGAGCAGGCAGCTTTGGAGACAGCAGAAGATCTGGTGGGGAGGAGTCAGTGGACTTTAAGGAAGTCCCGCTGCGAAGAGCAGCTGCTGAGCTTCTAGTGGACACACTGGCTCTTCCCCAGGCTGGTCCTCCCATATGTGCGGCACCTGAAGGGGGAAGATGACAAACCACTGCCCCCAACCAAGCCCAGGAAGCAGTACAAGATGGCCAAGGAGCTGAGGGGGGACGATGGGACCACGGAGAAGCCAAAGAAGGCCAAGGACTCAGAGAGGCAGGTGGACCAGGTAAGCGCCGAGCATGGTGAGGTTGTTTTCACAGCTCCATGCCTACTCTGGCCATGGCTTCTGACTCCTGCTTGGAATGCCAGGAACCTGCTTCAGGGCGAGAGCTGGCTGAACTTTGGGTTTCCTGAAGACCAGCGGACACCTGCTCACATGCATGACGCTATGCTGGGATTGCTGGGATACTAGGCTGTATCTGCTTGGGACGGGCACCTTGGAAACCTTTTGACCCAAGGTGTTGCTGAGGGCTAAGGTGTTGCTGGGTGCCCTCTGAGGCCTGCTACCTCCAGATCTCCAGGTTAGAAGCACAATCCAGCACCCGACTCTAAGACAAAGCCTTTTCTTATTCCAGACCACACCGGGAAAGACCAAATCAGATGCCACTGGTCTGACGCAGCCTCCTAGCCAGGGACCCTCAAGGGATAGCACAGAACAGCTAGGCCCAACAGCTGGGCCCTCTTTGCCATTCATGGGTGCTAGCGGCTGTCCGGAGGCCTACAAGCGGCTCTTGTCCACCTTTTACAACAAAGGGGCACATGGTATCATGTCACCACTGGCCAAAAAGAAACTCCTGGCCCAGGTCAGCAAGGCAGAAGCCTTGCAGTGCCAAGAAGAGGGCTGTCGTCATGGAGCAAGGAGCCCCAGCAAAGACCTTCAACAAAGTCCCCAGAACCTAAGAGGGCCAGCTGAGAACTCTGAACACCAGCAAAACCCTCAGGAAGGATTGCTGCCCCCCAGTGGCAGCACCAAGGTGGAGGAGGTGCAGGAGGGGCCCCGCCCCACAGGCCCTACTTTCTCAGGCTGTTTTCATGCCTACCCAACTGAAGTGCTGAAGCCTGTCAGCCAGCACCCTAGGGACTTCTTCTCTGGCCTTAAAGACAGGGTGCTGTTGGAACGGCCTGGTAAAGAGGAAGGGCTGTCAATCAAAGAGCCCCAGCTGGTGTGGGGTGGGGATGCCAACCGCCCCTCTGCATTCCATAAAGGCAGCTCCAGAAAAAGAACCTTCTACCCCAAGCCCAAAGCCTGCTGGGTGTCCCCCATGGCCAAGGTTCCAGCGGAGAGCCCTGGAGTCCCACCCCTCCTCCCCAGGAGCCCAGGCCTTGGCAACAAGCGCAACTTGGAAGAAGAGGGCTTTGCTCATGGTGGCAAGAAACTGAGGGCAGTGTCTCCCTTTCTGAAGGAGGTGGATGCCAAGGAGTGTGGGGGCAAGCCTGCAGCACCTGGCGTGGCTGTATCCTGTCTGCTGGGCCCAGCCCTGGGGCCCACTCCTCCAGAGGCCTACAGGGGCACCATGCTGCAGTATCCTCTGAACTTTGCCAGTAGCCCAGACCCTCTGAAGGGCCAGGCCACACTCCCCTTCAGTCCCCTGGTCATCCCAACTTTCCCAGCCCATCTCCTGGCTACGACAGGCCCCTCACCCATGGCTACCAGCCTGATGCATTTCCCCCCCACGTCCTATGATACCGTCCTCCGCCACAGACTGGGCCCGGCTTCATCTGCCTGGCACATGCCACCTGTCACAACCTATGCGGCGCCTCACTTCTTCCACCTCAACACCAAGCTGTAGGTTGGAGCCTGTTGTGCCGCGCTGTGAGGACCCGATGGGTCCTCAGGAGGGCAAGTGCTGCCGGGAACCTCAGGCCAGAGCCCACTGCCTGGAAGTCGATGTCCCCCGCCCACTGGCACAGATGGGGGTGGGTGTCAGTAGGCTTGTCTCAACAAATCAGCCTGAGCCCAAAGCCCTGGGACCAAGTTGTGGTAAAAAAATCACAAAAGTACCTGAGCTAGAAGTATTCTCTGCACAGAGGCCAAGAGGACTGAAAGGCTAAGGAGCTAGATAGCAGCTCAAGGCATCTAGGTTGGCCATGAAAAGTCGAATAAAAAGACTGGTGTGATCGCACCCAGCCCTGAGGTGTACAGCGTTGGACTTTTGCAAGGGTAGGTGAGGCAGGAGCAAGCTTGTGGATGCGGTCACCTGTGTGGGAGCAAAGATGAAACAATGCCATTTTGGTCTGGATGTTACCACCCCACTGGAGGGCAGGCTGAGCCAACTCAGCCTCTTCTGCCCAGATGAACAGAGAAGCTTGCTTTTGCTCCTGCTTCAGGGCACCTACCTGGCTGTCGAGGTTGTCATGGTTCAACGCCTAGAGCTCACTGGTGACTTGGGAGACACCAGGGAGGGGCTGTGAGATTCCAGCCCTCCAGGCTGAGCCACAGACCCACCCCCAAGACGCCTATGCCCTGCACCTTTGAGCCAGCGCTAGGAAGGGAGCTGCTTGCTTTAAGAGGTTCGTGCTGTGTGGTTCAGGTTAGGCTCGGACTGTGTGGTTCAGGTTAGGCCTACAGAATTCCTACTGTGGCCTTCTCAGCAGTTGGGATACAGTTGTGAAAGGAGGGAGTCTTCTGAGGGTACTAACACAAAACCCAAGTCATCTGTCCCGGTAGTGGGTAGACTCGTGAACCCTGCTGCCTCATGCTCCCAGTGACCTGCCGCCAACACACCCACTTTCCTGCTCTCCATACTGGATTTGGGGCGAGGGGCCCCATCTCTGCCTGGGAATCCGTTGCCAAGCCACAGTAAGTTGCAGCTGTGTTTGCTCCAGGGGCCCACAGAGAAACCCTATGGTTTAGTACCCTCCTCCCTTAGAGATGGCTTGATCTGCCAGTCCCAAGGAGACTGTCAGTACAGCTTCATAACTGTTCCCGGGAAGGTAGTGCCACCAAGGCCCAGAGATGCCAGGGTGCCAGTGAACCGGGTCAGCAGATGGTTACTGACCTGCATCATAGGAACACATCCTTTTCCCAACCTCAGGCCATGGGTAGGAGGGCAAGATTTTATGGCCTCCTTAGTTCACAGGTGGTATGGCTAAGCCAGGGACAGGAAGTGTCATTGAGGACCCCTGGTTTGGAGAAATGGTGGTCAGGGAAGGTAGCTGCCTATGAGGGGAGCTGTAGCATAGGCGTCTTCCAGGACCGGGAGGGAGGCCAGAGGGAGGAGGGGTGTCCAGTGATGCGCTCAAGCATCTTCCAGCTCTCCCACCTTCCTTCTGGAGACACTGAGATGCCAGCCTGTGTATGCAGATGACTAGCCCTGAGCGCACAGCTGCCCCACTGCGCCCATGTGCTGCGGACTGCAGTGGTGGCGCCCTCTGCAGGCACATCTGGAGAATGCACATCTGGTGAGGTGATGGATTCCTGGGCTGGACTCTGCCACCTCTGCCTAAGCAAAGACACTAGAAATGAACGCAAGCTGGGCTTCTTGGAAAACGTTGGAACTCTGCACTGAACACCTGCGTATTTGCCTCCTTCCCACTGTGAATGAGAGAACTGAGCCCAGAGGTGACTCCAAACACCGTGGTAGCTGATGGGGGCGCACGCCGCACACATCTCCCCATGTTCATACTCGTCTCCCTGCCCCCCACCCCGACAGGCTGCCTCAGAGGACCCACAGGCCAGCAGGAGTCCCAGTGTCTTGTGTTCAGTGTGTAATTTGTGTTCGGGTCTACTTTCAAACCTTTCATGGCATTTGAGCGGCTAACGGCGGGGAGGAGGCAGAGACCACCCTGGCATTGGTGCTGATCCCGCTCCTACCTGTCCGTGGTCCCAGCTCCTTTCCCTGGTATCAGCTTAAGTGTGATGAGTTAGGCATTTGGCAGGCAATACCTTTGTTTGCTTTGGGGGTTGACGTTTGCTGCCCCTTTAACTGTCTTGGGTGTTCACCTTGGTGGCGTTAAATGTGCATCACCTGCACTGGCCTGGTGTCACCACCATAGTTTTAAACAGTGGCCGAGAGTGTTCTCTAGAAGACTTTTAGAATGGCTAGAGGGGGTGACGGAGAAGCAGAGCAGCAAGTCCCCAAGGGAGTGGCCAGAGCGTGGGGTCTAGGAGCCAAGGGGCCTGTGGGGTTGGGACAGAGGGACCCAGAGATGACTCAGGCTGGGTTTGGTGCCTTCTAGGCCGGGGGCGGTTGGGCTTTTACACGAAATAAAAGAAAGATGGAAGAAGAGCGTCCTGGCTTCTGGAGTTTGTTGTTTGCTTTCTCTCTGGTGCTGGGGATGGGCTCCAGGACACGAGGCATGCTCAGCCAGCTCTGACCACTGAACTGCATCCCAGCCCCAGTCTGTGGCAGATGGTGGGTGGATCTGGGTGCTCTGGAGCCCAGAACAGAGCAAGTAGCCTCTCCTTGGAGATGCAGGAGACAGTATCTGGACCCAGGTCTGCAGATGCTGTGGACACGTCTGGCCAGTGTTGCTGTTTGTACTGTGAGCAGAGTGAGCGTGGGTGGGGGCTGGGCTTGGAGAAGGACGAGGGAGTGAGCTCACAGAGTGGAGCCAGGCTGGCCCAGGGCATAGCTAAGGCATCTGAGAAGCTCCAGTTTCCACTTGAGGTTACTGGCAGGAGTATCATTGCACCCAGGAGGCCAGCTGGATGCAGTCTGAAGGCAGGGGACAGTTAAGCCCCACTCCAGTAGGAGCTGCAGGGAAGGGCACAGATATGGGACCAAGAAGTGAAGCCAGGGAGGGCAGAGCTGGGAACAGGTGGTCAGACCTCCAGACCTGAGGTCCGGGTGAGCTGTGGGCAGTTGCGGGGGGTGGGCTGGGGCGGTGAGAGGATTGGCTGAAGTCAGTTATTGGCTGCCTGATGAGGGAGAGCAGGAATGGGCTGTCAGAAGAGCTCCGACATGGGAACTCTGAAACACCACAGATAAGGGCAGCGGGCATGCTGGGCGGTCACAGCAGCCAGGGTAAGGTACACAGGCACCGGTCAGAGGGAGCTGGGCCCTAAGCAAAAACACAGTACAGGAGGCAGCAAAGTGTAGTTCTCACATGAAGTCACTGGGGTGGCCAGAACCTTAGGCTGGCAGAGTAGACCTTAGGAGAAGCCAGAGGCAAGTGAGAAACTTTCATGGCTTTAAAGGGATTTCAGTTAAGAGCAGAGGCTGCTTGAGATGTTTCGATGTGTTTGTTTGTTTTCCAGTGTGGTGGATGGAACCCAGAGCCTTGTGTATGCTACGCAAGTGCCCTACCATGGAGCTACATCCCAGCCCTTAGGTGTTTAAAAACAATAGAACTAACAGCATTTAAAACATTGCATTTCTTGCCAGGCCGTGGTGGCGCATGCCTTTAATCCCAACACTTGGGAGGTAGTGGCAGGAGGGTCTCTGTGAGTTCAAGACCAACCTGGTTTACAAAGTGAGTTCCAGAACAGCCAAGGCTGTTACACATAGAAACCTTGTCTTGAAAAACCAAAAACCAATCAACCAATCAAACAAACAAACAAACAAAAAAAACCATTGCATTTCTCTTGAGTAGCCACATTGGATGACTTTCTGAATCAAGGCGGGAGGAATCCATCTACCATACTCCTTCCGCTCCTCTGGTGCCCAACCCTTAGGGTTAGTCCTGGTTCCCACCACTCAAGGTGGAGCTGTAACACTGTTCAGACACTAGGTGGCAGCTGCTGTTCTTCATTGGTTATAGAATCAAGACCAACTTTCTTAGCTAATGACTCCAAGAGCATTACTGCTCAGTTCTTCGGAAGGCTCCTGGGCAGGAGTGCAGAGCAATCGCTGGTCTGGCAGGGCCAGTGAGGCGGACACATGTGAGCACAAGCTCCCGAGACCAGCGTCACTCACTGGGCCACCTGAACACCTGCATTCTCTGACCCAGACTGTCATTTAGAATGGGCTCTAGACCCAAATAAAGAGCAGTACCTGCTGAACACACTCCCCAGCCTACCAGGGGCAGCCCAGCCTCTTGTGGACAGCCGCTACTCCTGGAAGCCACCATCTGCCTGGCCCTAGCTGTCGGGCTCCCCCGTGTAGGAAAGGCATTGGCATACTGCAAGGGTAGCAGGAAATGGGGGCTACCAATGGGGGTCTTCGAAAGAGAAACTCCTACCTCTACATGTTCAGAGGCTCTGTCCTACCACTAGGCTTCTTGTTGCATGCTTGTGCCTTGGGGTGGAGAAGACCAGGAAACTGGAAGGCAAAGGATTCTGACCTACACTCTCCCATATCCAGTGCACCAGTGACATTCTTGGATTCCTTCCTTGCAGGCAATAGAAATGAAGGCCAATCAGGCAAGAGAGCTCCTGAGGGGCTCAAAGCATGAGAGAGAGCTGAATACCAGGTCGTGATGGACGGACTCAATGTGAATCCTGTTGTTAGGGATATTTTCCTAACGCGAGCTCTCTGCCGACGCAAAATCCCAATCAAGCCAAATCAAAACAAGCCAAATTAAGAGATATCCAGGTTTAATGGGAGTTCCTGCGCTCTTGGGTGGCTCCGAGGGGAAACCAGGGAGCCTGGTGAACGGGACCACCCAACGGGAGGCAGAAAAGGTGACCACGTGTTCCTCTTTTGGGAGTTCACTTAAATATTCTTGGGAGTGATCCTGGTCTCCCCCCCCCCCCCGCCCCGAGGAAGGGGTCAGGACCTGGCCTGCTGGGATTTGGAGTCCAGAGTGCTAACTCTCAGGGTCAGGGGGCTAGGACAGATGCAAGGGGCTGGGGCCTAAGCTCCCAACTTAACACCTGTAGCTTTTCTCACTACCGTGATCAAATTACCTTCAGAAATCACTCTGAGGAGGGATTACTTCTTTGGTTCACATTTTCAGAGGCTTTATTTAGCCCGTGGCGACTGGGTCCTGTATGCCGGAGTAGAGCATCTTGGTGGCAGAACCACATGGTACGGGAAGTTCTTCAGAGAGCATTCGAATCGGGTAAAACCTCCAAAGACGTGCCCCAGTGAGCTACCCCCTCCAGCTCTGTCCCAGTTCCTAATTTTCAGAACCTTGCAAAATAACTGCCAATTGAGGGTACCAATGTGTGAGGTACAGCCAGCTCCTAGCCCAGAGGTTGCCACGGACACCTGTTTTCAATCTGTATTCAGTGACATTTGCTGGGAACCTGAACCGCGTTGAAGCCGTAATATTTGTGCTCTCCAGAATGTCCCCTGCCTGCAAAGCTTTTGTCCCTGTCCCCTGAGCTGCTGTCCCAGGCAGTGGTTAGATGATCAGCAGCAAGCCACAGGCTCTGCCTGCCATCCTTCCAGTCTCAGTCCTGAGGGGCTCGTTAGAAGAGAAGCTGACGCTGAGTCCTGAGTTACCTGTGCTGAGGCTGAGAGTAAACGTGTGTCATGTGGGTCGAAAGGCTGGGTGACACCAGGTGCACCCCCTTTCTCTGTCTCATCTGTAGTATCAAGTGAGTCGTTTAACCTCAAGAGTCAGGGTATTTAGAGAAAGCTCTGTAAACGAGGGCTCTATGAATGTGAGTCACCGCTTCCCTTGCCAGCTTGGCCATGCCTTGTCCTGTCCTTTACCTTACCAATTTTGAAACCCCTGCATGTGTTCTGACCGCTACCCTTTAGCTTGCCTTCTGAGTCAGAGTCACTCTGACTTTTGGATAGTGTCTGGGTCAAGAATGGCAAGTCAACCTTTGTGGTTGTCTGCAGCTCTGGACTGACTCATTGTGAAAGTGATGCAATTGATTAGTAATGTCTGCCAAGGCCATAGGAAGGGGAGGGGAGGTTCACCTGCTACATCGGTGCCATCTCTGTCTGGGGCTTGATGATGGGCTGTCTGATGCCAGTCCCTGACCTCACTGCTACATCTCGGCCTGGCTCTGGTGGTTTCCCTCCCACAGGAGCAAAGACTAGGAAGGCAGAGTTTGCAACTGGGAGCTCAATCCAAGAAGCCTAGGTTGGGCAGTGCTTAGCCATGAGTTACAGTTTGATGCCTAAGTAGTAATAAGAAAGGGAAGCAATAAGGAGAAGCTGTTAAAAGAGGTTTGAGGACACCTGGCAGTGGTGGTACACATCTTTAATCCCAGCACTCAGGAGGCAGATATAGGCGATCTCTGTGAGTTCGAGGCCAGCCTGGTCTAAAGAGTGAGTTCCATGACAGCCGAGGCTACACCGAGAGGCTACCCTGTCTTCAAAAACAAACAAAACAAAGAGGTCTGAGGAGATGGCTTAGCAGACTTATGAACTTGTGATTCCAAGCTTGACGAGTTGAGTTTGATCCCCAGGATTCACATGGTAGGAGAAAAACTACTGGAGTTGCCTTCTGACCTTCGTATGTGTGCCACGGCATGCATGTACCCCCCACCAGACCTCCATATGTGTGCCATGGCATGCATGTACTCCCCCACCAAACAAACATATGTAATCAGCTGGAAGGGGGACCATAGGAGGAAGGCAGAGCCAAGGGAGAAAGATTCTTTCAGCAGTGGCTAGGTGGGAGACATGGTTGGGATGGAGAGGTGGAGCTTACCATGTCATTTGTAGAAAGGCCTTTGATATAGAGCTTGTGGCCTTGGGCATAATCAGTAGGTGATAAATTAAAAGAAGCATGCCAAAATCCAGCTTTGACTAGCTCACCCTGCTTAAATGTAGCCCACAAACTGCACTGCCCCCAAATTAAAACCCCAGGGTCTCAGTTTGGAAAGTTTTGTCCTCAGGCTTCTGGTTCTCCACTCCCCATAGCAACCATGCTCTGCAATTCCTGCCTGGGTTGAGCCCTAGGGGGTAACACACACTGCTCCTGCTACCTGACACTCTCTCCTCACCCACATGCCTCACCCCGAAGCCTCTTCCTCCAGGAACCCTGGCTCCCATCTCAAGCGCCCTCACAGCACCCAGTGCTCCCCATCCTGCCACTGCAAACCTACATCTGCTGCCCAACCCTGCCCTCTGCTCACCTCCAGCTCAGTGACATATCCCCATAAAACAGGGGTTCTGTATTCGCTAATGCGTTAGAGCGCAAGTGTCCACTGGCAAGCCTCACAGATGCATAAGCCCTGCTGCTTTGGGCAGTTCCCAGGGGATTCTGGCATGTGCAAGAGCCAGAGAGGCTCAGAATGGTGGCCCAGAAGAGCAGCTCTTTCCACCACTGGCTTGGCTGTTCGCTTCAGTTATGGGAGAGGGCTAGACTTCTTATCTGTAAAAATATGGTCTATACCCCATTCCTTCCCCAGCTCTGCACACAGACAAAGCAGACATTTCTTTTA